TCGCACATGTCGGCCAGCTGCACCAACACGTTCTCCTCCGTGCTCCTCGTGGCGGTGAGCACCAGCTGGATGCGGTCCGAACGGCGCACCAAGTCCAGCGGCAGGTCCACCACCTCCCTCTGCATGACCCAGCCCTCGTCGGTCTGGAGGAAGACGAGCCGGACCTGAGAACGACCTACCCACCCACCCGAGCGCGAACAGGTACAATGTGCACTCACCTCCCCGGGGATCAAGTTGATGACGGTGTTGATCTGCCGGTAGCCCGCGCCCGCCCCCTTGTAGCCCAGCTGTACCTGGCCGTCGATCGGCACCTTGGCGACCACGATGAGGCAGAGCTGGTGCTCCGGAGGGGCCTTGATGGGTGGGCTGGTGAGCGTGGCCTCCGTGCGCCCCGAGTCCATCCCCCAGATGGGCCACATGACCCCGGGCGTGGAGAGCGTCTCCCGAGCCGCGCGCACCTGCACCAACCCCTTGCCCTTGTACGAAGCGAGGATGAGGTAGTTGTGGCCTACAGGCACGTCCCAGCTCTCGGCGCGCTCGCCGTCCAGCCCCAGCGACACGCGGAGCCCCTGCAGCCTGATCGTCATGTTGTACTCCGGCAGCGGCCAGCCCTCTTGCACCTGGGAGGGGCGAGACGAGAACGGGGTGAGAATCTCTGTGAGGAAGTCTGAGGAGTTGCACGCACTGCCTGAAAGGCTTACCGTCTGCTTGGAGTCGAGCACGGCCTTCCTCACGGCGCTGCCGCTCCTGCTGGGCAGCCAGGCCATGCCCTTCTCCCCGCTGCCGTACCTGGCCCACTCCACGCGGAGGGACTTGGCGTCCGCGCCCGTCACCAGCGCGCCGTAGCAGGCGTCACCCTGTGGCCGCTGGCACAGGAACACGCCCAGCCTGGACGACGGCGCCGTCCCGGGCGTCCACGTCAGCGGCACGGACTTCCCTGGGTCCACGCGGCCCTCCCACGCGCGCGAGCCTTCAGGGGGAGAGGAATCGTCAGGTCAGCAGTCGTATACTGTACCGCACGCACGCATGTGGGCGTGTTTGCCTATCGCCTCTGACCGAGTCGCCTTGTTACACGGCCAGTGCGAGTGGGCAACCTGCCCGCACCCGCGCACGACGTACGGCCTGACTGCGAAAGTGGGTGGACGGAGCGAACATGGAGCCAATCAGCCACCTGGTACAGTGTTGGCCAGTACCGGCGCTCCTGGAAGAACGGCTGAGTGGTGCCTGGTAGACAGCCACGACCACCCCTATGACCTTCCCACTTCAGTGAGGCAATAACCCACCTTGCACGCTCAGGTCGCCCTCCTTCTTGTAGCGGTCGACAAACAGGTACTTGTACTGCTTGCCCGGTATGTCGAACACCAGCTGGTCCTCCTGCTGCGGGTCGCCGCCATCCAGGTTGACGAGCAGCTGCTCCGAGGGCGACCTCTCCAGCTGCAGCGTGTAGCGGCGCACCGGCACCCAGCCCTCGCGGATAGTCTCGTCCTTGCTGTCCACCGTGGCCTTGAGCGTGGCCTGTCAACAGACACACGAGGAGGTTGGTTGGACGGACTCCCCGCCGTGGCCGAGCCCGCCCTTATCGTGTATATACCCACCGAGCCGCCCCCGGGCACCCAGTACGGCCCGCTCTCGCCCTCCTCCCCGTAGCGCATCCAGTTGTAGCGCAGGCGGCCATCGGTGTGGCCCGATAACACGACGCCGTAGCAGTTCTTGGGGAAGGGCGAGTCGCACAGCAGCGCGGCGAGGTGGCCGAAGCCCTGGTCCGAGGGCGTGAAGTCGACGCGCAGGCTCTCCCCCGAGATCAGCGTGCCCAGCCAGCCCTCTTCCGTCTCGCGCAACGCTGGGGGCAGAAGGGCACCATAACGTCAGGGCGTCAGGGACACAGTGACACGCGAGCAGAGACTCGAGAGACGGGGCCAGGGCTAGGGCTAGGGCTAGGGCTAGGGCTAGGGCTAGGGCTAGGGCTAGGGCAGGGCAGGGCAGGGCAGGGCAGGGCAGGGCCACGAACTGCAGCTCACCCTTCTCCAGCGGGTTCTCCCGGAGCGTCAGGTCGAGGATGGGGTTCGTCTCCTCCGCCTCCGCCGACGACAGCCTCCTCCAGCCGTCGTTCTGCCACTCCGCACAGCAGCGGTCCTCGCTGACCACTGTGGGGACATCAAGACAGCAGTCATTACACCCGCTGAGTACTCGCCCCCCGTTCACCATTTCACATTTGCGGAGGAGTATGTATCACCGTTGTGCGTGTCGCTACCCCGACGAAGGGGCATCCCCCGCGAGTTGTTGCGGGCGATGATTTGTCCGGACTCCAGCGTGGTGCCGCCGGTCGAGCTCCTCTGCAGCTTGTACATAGTCGTGATGTCGAACACCTCTGCAAACATAACACTGCATGTGTTAAACGACCAGTTATTTTGATCGCCGCGGGTTTTCCCCACCCGCCCCCCGCCAGGTGGCTAAATCGTGCGCGCGAATTGTCATCTCTTGACGGCGAGTCACCTGTCGCGCTGCAGAGCTGCATCACGACGGCCGCGAGGCAGAAGCGCCACCACGTGCGCAGGTCCATGCTGCCCGGAGGACGATTCCTGAAAGCACACGTGAGCCGGTGTGAAACAGAGGTGTGAGACGGCGCCGCGCGCTACGCATCTCCCTCCAGTGCGTCGTCGTTCCCGCATGTCAGTCCCCGACGCTGACGTCACCACGCCCCTCGGGCCCCGGCCCGCTGTCGTGCACACGAATAAAAGAGAAAAAAACAACTCAAACGAGTTGTGAGTGTGTGTACGTACCCGGCGAGTGATCCCCTCCACAGGTTTGCCAAGTCCGCCTCTGTTTTCCTGGATACGGCCATCGGCGACGCGGAGCAGTGCACAACGAAAGGTGTTCTTTGTGGACTATGGTTGGTATATGGTCACCCGTGGTCACCACTCACCGAATAAGCCGCGAGCTACGATGCCGGTTCGGTATGGGGCAGGGCGTGGTTCCGTCTCCGGCGGCGATCCGGCCCGGAGCCGTGTCACGGTCCTCGAGGGGCAGCGCCCTGAGGGTCCTGAGTCCGGTGGGTGCCCCTGGCGCGACTCCTCGAGACTGGGCCGGTGCTGCTTGTCCTGCTCACTGACCGCTTCTGACGCTCCTGGAGCCGGCTTCTCCTGCTGCTGGCCGGCCGCCAGCGCCCGCCTGCAGCCCGGCCGCGTCCTGGAGGGGGTTAAGCGCCGCGAGTGCGTAGCTCGGGCCGCGCCCCACTCGCCCCTGCAGCCTGTCTGGGACTTCCCCAGCCGCTCGGCTGCGGCGTCACGCGGCTCGGCGCGCCCTCCAAGTCGCAGGAGACGAAAGGGTATCAAAACCATTTGACCTCATTTGACTTCGCAGTCTGGGAGGACGGGTCATAAAACAATTTACACAAAGCTTCCTGGAACTCGGCGTATTAGGTGTGCGACAATTTTTGCATGGTTTTTGCGCAGTGGGGGGGCTCTCTGCCCAGGCCACGCGGGAATGAGTCCCATTTAAAGGAGACGGGAAAGGAAACACAATTAGTAAAAAGTTGCGGTGGTTTTAGCTTTAATCAAGTTGTCACTCTTGGTGTAGCATTCTCGTCTTAAATAATAAATAATATCCACACAGTGAACAGTCAGAAACCCACAAAGAATTGCAATAATTAAATAACGAGGTGAGCAGTTCTATGTAATTACAAGAATGCGCAGAAGAACGCCTATGTGTCATCAGAGGGGACTACTTCAAAAAACACGTCCCCGAAAATAACAAAACTATCATAAAACATAAATTATTTTAAATTAATAGGATAGGTAAAGGTGAGTATCACTTCATTCACATATGCTTAAACACATTTTATCACAGTTGAGCTTGTTCCTAGTTTAAGTGCGAGTCGGAAGTCACGCAGGTCTATCATTACGCCGGTAGTGCGGAGGACTCCTCGACGCCGACGTGGAGGTCGACTGCGGCCTTAGACTGCTTTGGTTGCGCGTCCAGCTCGGAGACCACCGTAAAGGCGGACCTGAGAGAATGGTCGCCGCGGTCCGGCTCGGGCGCACCATCCGTCCAGGCCGGCTGTACGAAGACGCACAGCAGCCCGCCGACTGCGAACAAAAAGAGGGAGTACTTTTAGTAAGTATAGTACCACACCGCGTCGTCACCACACTTAAGCCACAGCACTGAAACTCACGGATGACGGTGCCCGAGATGAGAAAGATGGGCACTTCGCAGCTGATGTCCAGGAGGGAGCCCAGCACCAGGTTGCTGACCGCGGCGCCGACCCGGCCGGCCAGGAGGGCGGAACACACGCCGAGGGCACTGCGAGACAAGAAAGCATCCGTGTGATGTGTGACGTGAGTCAGCGCCAGCGCCAGCGGCTCTACTCCACGCGGTGGCTCTCGTCGCTGAGCGTATCGTCACGACCAGTCGCATCCTCACCTCACTCTGGCGGGGAAGATGTCGACCATGAAGGAGTTGACGGCGGTGTTGGCCGTGCCGATGAGCGCCTGGAAGAGGCTGGCCACCACCAGGTTCCCGGTGGTGGAGTCGACGAAGTAGATGCCCGCGGCCAGCACCCCGGACGCCACGTTCAGGAGGAAGGGCAGCGCGCGGCGGCCGACCCTGGTCGCGAAGGGGGCGGTCACCACGTTGGCGACGAGGCACACCGCGCTGATGATGAGCGTCTTGATGAAGACCGACTCATTGACGGCCTCGGCAGCGTTGCACTTGGGGCCGGCCACCATGTCCACGGCGGTCGCCGGCTCGAACAGCAGGGCGGGCCCGACAGCGCTGCTGCTGCTGATGTTGTCCGCCTTGAGCAGCTCCAGCTCCTTGAGCTCCTCGGCCCAGGACCGCGACAGCTGGCACACCGTCATGGTCTTGTTGGGGTGGAGGCTGTAGTGCGTGTCGAAGCGGTTGAAGAGCTC